TAGTCTTGAAAATGCTTAAAAGAGCCCACAAAATAGACTTTTTTAAGATGCATTTGAATAAAGTAAATCAAGGAAGGGAGTTTTTTCACGCTGCGTTTAACCCCGGGTTATTCTCGTTCTAAACCCCTTTTAACCCCAGTTAAGGCATGTTTCACAGTTGTGATTTAGAAGTGGAGTTATTGCCACTTTTAATGCGAGGTTTTAAATTAGCAATGCTTTTATTACAGCTAATCATATATACAGCTAGATGTTTAGCAATAGACAGTAGACACCCAATCGCGTGTCGCACATTCACATGCTTTGGACAGTCACGAAAACACCACCCAAGTTTCCAAAATCGCCCCTTATAGGGCACTATTTGAGGGGACAGCCATTTTTAGTGGTGTCCGAAACCTTAGTGGACATTATCAAGTGCACTCATTCAATCCCACAATGCACAGCAATAACGAGTGTACAACTAATGTATGCTCAAAGGCTAGAGAATACCCATAATGCACTGTACGAGTTGTGCACCGAATGAATTGCACGTCTCGCCAGAAGATGGCACCTGCAGCTGAATCATTCATCCATTTTACAAAGTGCTCGTCCACGGCGTACAGCATAATACAAAACAGATATAAATTCATGGTAAATGTATTATTAAAATGTTTAATTAGGTTTTATACATAATTTCCAGGACAGAGTTAAACATCCTTTCATCTTACTACTGGAGCTGCCAGTTTGCTAGTTTCAAATGATTATTAACATCAAGCACAAACTATGCAAAAGCGGCAGTCTTTTCTGGTGCACTCAGTGTCCGAATTCACTCACTTGTTTTCATTCACTCCTTCAAGTGAACTGTATTAGTGGCCTAATGTAGGGAATAGTGACTGAAGGTATAGGGGGTGATTTCAGATTTAGAGTTTGAGACGGAAAATGGACAAACAGTGATGAAAAAGTAAAGAAGAGATTGTTTTATTTTTACCTTTACAGTCCACCGAAAAGTCCATTCAGGGAAAACTCTTGATAGTACAGTCTGTAATAACACCAGGCTGCGCAATGCTAAGCTTACATGTTAAGTTTTTGCATGCTGCATTTGTCCAATCAATGAAACTAACCTCAAATATGCAAATAAGAATGTTCACCCAGGTTTTAGGAATATACAGTGTCAAACGTAAGTTTGTGATTTTGAATACCCAAGATTTATTGTTAACCCCTGATAATTTATGAGCAGTGTGAAACGTGAAACAAGATAACCCAGGATTCCATTTACCCGGGGTTTAAAATCACCCAGGGTTCTTTTTCGGTGATAACTCCCTACTCGCTACTTCACAGTTAAAGGGTTAGTTCACCCAAAAACGAAAATTATGTCTTTAATTACTCACACACATGTCGTTCCAAACCCGTAAACCCGTATCTTCAGAACACAAATGAAGATATTTTTGATGAAATCCAAGAGCTTTCTGACCTTGCATAGACAGCAATGGAATTACCATATTCAAGGCCCAGAAAGGTAGTAAGGACATCGTTAAAATAGTCCATGTGACATCAGTGGCTCAACCTTAATTTTATGAAGCTACAAGAATACTTTTTGTGCGCAAAGAAAACAAAAATAATGACTTTATTCAACAATTTCTTCTCTTCTGTGTCAGTCCTCGACGCACGTTCACGACAGTACCATGCATGTGTGCACTACGCATGTGTGAGCATTCGAGCTTTCTGACCCTGCATAGACAGCAATGCAACTGACACGTTCAAGGCCCAGAAACGCAGTAAGGACATCATTAAAATAGCCCGTGACATCAGTGGCTCAACCTTAATTTTATGAAGCTACAAGAATACTTTTTGTGCGCAAAGAAAACAAAAATAATGACTTTATTCAACAATTTCTTCTCTTCTGTGTCAGTCCTCGACGCACGTTCACGACAGTACCATGCATGTGTGCACTACGCATGTGTGAGCATTCCACTGCTTGTAAACAATGCGCAGCGCATTCTGGTGCTACGGCAGAACGCCGGCTCTTCCATCAGCAGTTTCACACAAATGCGTTGTGGTAGCCCTGCCTTACAGGTTTGGAATGACATGATGATGGTGGGTAATTAATGACGGATTTTTCATTTTGGGGTGAACTATCCCTTTAAAAATTAAGGGCAAGAATGACATGATGCAGTTAGCATGGATGCCCCGCACCCACCCACACACACCCGCTCTCAGATACATTCAGCATGACATCGACAGCAGCTGGCATGACCAAGGAAGAAATCATCTGTTCCTCGACTGACCGACATCGACATTGTCTATGTTTGACTACTCTGTTGTTAAGCTGGAAGAATGTCTGATATCTACTCACGTGGAAACAGAAATTAATGCCACAAGGGAAAAGCAACTTCATGCCAAATTCAAATTAAGGTCAAGCTATATTATTGCTGTTGTTTTTAGGTTTGCGTGTGTATTTCTTGTTTAGAACTGAAGAAGATTTTAATTAGATTTTAAGTACATAGTGGTCCATAACAAAGGCCAAATAACACACGTTTTTGTACATACATACAGTATTTTTAAAACAGGCTTACCTTTTCAACAGGAGTTGCCTGGGATGCCTTTTGCAAAGGTTTTATATTGTGACCCTTAGCAGGCATCCCAGCTTCCAGTCTCAAAGATGTAGTCTCAAGTGGTTTTGAGGTAGCACAATGAAAAATGGACTCCCGGCTGTCGAATAGCCATTCCTTTTAGTCATGGCTTGAGGATTTCAGAAAGGTTTTCCAAACACATCCTTTTGCTCATGTAATGTGTAGTAAGTACACATTTATATTAGTATATAGCCTATAGTTTATATGTGTACAGTAGACATATATACTGTATAGTAGATATGTGAGTGAGTCACTGAATCAATCACTCAATCAATTCATTCAAAAATGCTGATTAATTAAGGAACGAATAACATTACTGTGCTCAGATATGCAGATCTGCTTTGAAATTGGTTGGAACTATTTTGGAGGAGCAAAAATAGACAAAATAACTGGTAATACTAAAATATAAGTGACTTACCTTGTTTACTGAGCTGTTGTATAGAGCAAAACAGTTGTATTCAATAAACACAAGTATGACTGATAATTTGTTTATCGTTATTATCCTTATAAATAGATAAGGCAGATATTTAATGTCATATATTTTATGCAGTGTTATTTTAGTATAATTGATATACTAATATAGTTTTTGTTAATATTTTTAAATAGGTTTTTTTCTGTTTTAACTTTAATTTTACTTGAGTCATTTTGTTGTGTGTTTTTGTCATTTTTATTCGTTTTTATTTTCATTTTATTTATTAATTTTGTAATTTATCTTAGTGTTTTATTTATTTTGAAGTACTTCAACTTGAAATGGAGCTCAGAAATGGTGACTGGCAACTAGCTGAATCAAAATAATGTTTTTAGATTTTTTTTTACTTTAATTATATTTCAGTGGACATTCATTTTATTTTTAAATAAAATGTTTTTTTATGTTTGTAGTTTTAGTTTAGTTAACGATAATAACCCAGATATTATGTAGGAAATTCTTGAAAATCTATTGCAGTAGATATTGTGGAGATGAGATAGTTATAGAATATATAAACATTTTAATAGACTTGTCTAAATGTCTCATTATTACCCACACCTTATTTGCCCTTTTAATTCAGCTGCAAACAGAATTACTGCTATAACCCTCTAATAACTCCATAATCTAGTTTTCCCTGTCAGACTAGTGTTTCTGCAGAGTGTGGAATGGATTTTATGTTGGACTGAAGAGTACACTTTTATCGACACCTAATGGTCATTTCAATGACATTTCTAATAGGCCCAGAAACACACATACACACCCACTTACTCACACCATAAACAACAACAATAATACATGAATATGTTCCTGCCTCATATGTTCTTTTGATACTTCTCTTTGTTAATATATCTTTCAAGACTTTAATGATTTGTCAAACACAATTAGGGAGAGAGAACCAATTTAAACCAATTGATTTATTTGATATGTGACTTTCAGATAGATGTGTGCTTTAAAAACATTATTCAAATAAATGTGGAATGGAACAAGCATTTGGTCATGTTTTAGACATTTTCACAGATTTTTACAAAAAGCAAACCCACACTGCCCCCCTCTGGCCACTAGTAAAACTAAACACACTGAATGATCTGACCAACAAAATGAGTCGATTTCAGAAATACAATAACAGATCATGGTCAAGTGAAAATGCATGATCATACTTTAAAACAGGGTTGTCAAACTCAATTCCTGGAGGGCTGAAGCTCTGCAGAGTTTTGATTCAACCCTAATTAAACACACCTGATCCAACTAATCAAGTCTTATTTAAAACCTACATGCTATGTGTGTTGGAGCAGGGTTGGAACAAAACTCTGCAGGGCTCCATCCCTCCAGGAATTGAGTTTGACACCCCTGCTTTAAAACATCAATATCCATTATATACAGTGACAAAGTAAATGTACAGGTAGAAGAAGCACATTATTATTAGTATTATCTTGAGCATTATTTGAACATCATGTGAATTGTCAAGAGATGTGCTGTACACTACCAAAGTAACACGGAAATGTCCAAAGTGTTGTCTTGCAAAGACTGAAACCTGCTCTTTGTGCTTCATTCTGAGAAGCATTAAATGTGATACTTCCTCATCCACCAGATTTTAAAGAAAGGCTGCTGCTGTAAGTCAGGCTTTTGCAAACATTGCATGCAAACCAAATTTACCACAAACTCACCACATAAGCATTTGCACATATCAACCTCTGTCCTACCTATTTCTGTCTCATATGCACACAACCACTAAACTGAATGGAAAATTTGTGATTAAGATTGGTATCTTTTTAACTAAGAATTAAGCAAGACCATTTCTTGAGAAAAAACACAGAGAGTGCAACTGAGTAAAACTCCTTTGAAGAGAAACTCTGATGCTTTGAATACTTGATTCAAGTGTGATTTGATTTCAATTTGGTTTTAACTGTTCAACAAAATCAAATGTACAATTAGTAAACAGGCAGATCTAACATGCAGCAGTCTGAAGGAAAATAACAAAAAGAAAAACAAAAATGTATGTCACTACAGAGGAGTAACTAAAGTGGGCATCTGTCTTTTTTCTTTATAGTATTAAGATCATTTTAAGACTGCCTGCTCACTTGTCACAAGCTGTTTTCCAAACACAGTAACCTACTCAGCATGGGCTTATTGTAATTGGGCTTATTGTAAAATCGAGTCAGATAAATGTTGCAGTCATTCAGTTTCAGAGAAATATACACACATTAAACTAAACATCACTTAACACAGGAAACCCATTTCTACATCCTGTTATTCAGGTCATCACTGTGAGCACACAAAGACTGTACTAAAGTGCTTTTATTAGAGAGAAGGAAAAACTTGTACTGTACTGAGTATCAGACTAACAACTTTACAGGTTTGAATTTTTTAGCTCATAAAAAAATCTAAAGTATCCAATTACATATCATTTACTTTCATATGTAATAGAAGAAGCTCCTCTACCTTGTATGATTACATGTGAAGTTACATGATAATGAAGCCTGCAACTTTTCTAGTATTTGAAAAGTTTTAGAATCCACCTCAGTTCTATTTTAGGTCTATTCAGTTTACGTTCTGACCTGAGCATAAGTACTGAAGTCAGAACTCTGCACTCGCTTTGTCTTGCGTTATTTTTGTCTCTTGGTGATCACGTCTAAAGATGCAGAGAGAGAGAGAGAGAGAGAGAATGTAATATTCGTATTGTACATACCTCAGCGGTATTTCTACCTTTTAACTTGTCTTTTTGATCTCTCACAGCATCTATGGATTGTTAAATTAGAACATCACTTACATACATAAATGGTTTAAAGTTTATGCACTCATGGTTATGTTACATTTCAGTTTCTAACATCACTATTACATTTTGTGTGCAGGCTTTGCTCATCCAAATTATGCTAATTGTCAAAGGCTGATGATCTGTACATTAAAGTAGAAAACACAAAGGTTTGTGAATTAGTGAATGGTTACCTGTAGTTTTCTTACAACAGAGGCAGAACAAACAGATGGAGAAGAGGAGAAAACACACCGGACACACACTGAACAGCAGCGTCCAGCAGAGCACACAGTCAGATACAAGAGGTGGTGTGGAGGTGGTGTTCAAGGGTCCAGAACTGGAAGACACTTGCCCAACCAAACATAAACCATAACCAAAATATATTACTGTTATTCCGTATGTGTATCTTCTTCACTGAGAAAGTTAAAGTGCTTCAGAATTACATAATCAATTATATAATAACTAGCAGAAGTGTTTCCTTACATTCCAGAGAGAGACGAGTTGTGCGGTTTCCATAATAGTACACATTTGATGAGGAGATGATGCCATTTTCATCTTTATTTACCTTATTCTCTTGTTCTGCACAGTAGTACAGTCCCAGATCAGAGACACTAATGTTAGTAATATGTAGATCATAAGAATTACTGTAGCGGTTGTAGATAGAGCTGAAACGCTGAAATATCTTCAGTTCCCATTTTGTAAAATCTATTATGAGAGAGGGTTGATTTTCATGAGAGAAGTTTCTTATCCATACGATGAGGGAACCGTAAGTTAAAGAGCGATCACAGTAGAGAGTGATGTTGTCTCCTGGTCTGACATTCATCTCCACTTCTTCTCCATAGATTCTTGTCTGATGGAACAGTAAAACTATAAAAGAACAAAACAACTTTATAAACGCTTCAAATTGTACTATTATATAAAAAATATGCACAGTAGTGACATTTCGTTTGAAAAACAGCTGAAGAAGTATAATTTTTCTTACACATAAGCACAATGAGAGCAACTCTTGACCTCTCCATCTTAGTGAGCGATTGTGAATAACTGACACTGGTGAGGGTCTCAATGTAGACGTCAGATCTCATCTGATTGGTTCACGTCAGCGGAAAGTTTTACCTAAAGCGGCCCACGTCATGAGGGGTTGGCAGTAGACTGAGTTGTTGTTTGGACGTACAAAGAGTGAAAGCAGTTTTAATCAGTCACCAGTTACCTTACAGACATTTTTTTCCTATTTGGCTTTGTGATCAGCCACCTGATTGGTTCAAAGTGGAAATATTCGAGATTAGTTTATCTGATAGATACTTTTAGCAATATCTTTGATTCAGACTTGCAGATAAGCATAAAAATAAAATGCAAATATAAATAAGGTGCTTTACATTTCACATTCAATCAGTCAGTCAGTTCATGCCTGTCATGAGTGTCTAGTCTTTTGAATCAAAGTTCACCTGCAAAATTCATTCTTTGTTTTATTGTAATAGGTTCAGTTCAACATCTAAACGTGTAAAAACAGGAAACCCACAAGCCTTTTATTCAGACCGCTTACAAACACTTCACATTTGCAACACGTCATGAGACTCTCTCTTCACATCTCTTAGTTGATCATTGGTCAGCAGGCACAAATGTTTCCATTACCTTTGTGTGGTTTTGTGTGTTGCTTAGAGTGCATGTATTTGCACAAGGGAAGCTTGCTAAAATTACTGTGTCTAATGCTCTATACTGTGGTTAAACAGACACTGACGGCTGTCCATCAAGCTAAAATCAGCTACATTCAATTATGAGAAAATGCAATTCAACATAACACAAGTAAAGATCAATAAATCATGTCCAACTACAAAATATAAAGAAAAGTGCAATGTTAGCAAGACTAACCGGTCCTTGTGGGTAAAATAGGTCTATGCGAGTATAAAAACAGCAGTTTTTTAATATTGAAAGGGAGTGAAGAACCATGCATATGTCCCATACTTCTTATGGTCAAACTTATGCTAGACAGTAAATTAAAGAAAGCAAATGCTTTCAAATATTTGATACGTGATTCGAATGAACATGTGGTGTAAATTGGACAATATTTCACAAAGTGCTAATACAGATGTGGCTTTTCTTAATACTTCCTCAACAAACAGGAAGCACAACCACATATAGGCCTACTTTATGTATCAGAAATGACGCAGATGTCTGTTGTTCAGGGTGTTCAGCACTGGGAGCTGTCCAGTGTGCTGAATCTCTTCTGAAAAAAAAGCTATATGATTAAATATGATGAGAAACAGGAAAAGGATAGTTAAAATTCCGTCAGTTACTCATCCTTATGTCACTCCAAACGACTATAAAATTATCAGTAGTTCATATTAATGGGATGCATTCCATGTTTTAAAATCCAAATATAGCTGCAAGCAGGGATGATGGGCCCAAAGCCCCAGTGCCACGCCGGTGGCATCAGGAAAACAGTGCACAGCGGCCACATACATTTAACCCACAGCAATGAAAGGGTTACTCTAGAATATCAGGAGTGTGAAACAGATACACACAAGGAAAGGTAAGATGTATAAAACTTTTAATGACCTATAAGAATGTTTAAATGATTTTAATGGTCTATAAGCATTTGTGAAATATTTATATTAGGGCTGTCAATAGATAAAAATTTTTGATCAAATGAATCACACCCTCTTTCTGTGATTAATCGCGAATAATCGCACACTTCATTTATACTTCACACCATTTATCTTGTTTCAAATGTTTATTTTGTCCTTATTTGCTAAATCCAGCGAAGTAAACCAAAAGATTGAAGGGTGATTCTCAAAAATCTGTATTTTCTGCCAGCTTTTTTCAAGATACATTTAGATGTCTTTCCAAAAAAGAACCAAATGACATAAGGAGTCCATATAAGCACATATGAAATAAATTAAAAAAATGCTAAAACAAATTTAGCAAACAAAACTCAGAATTGTCTAGTATGTATACAGTGAAACAGCAAAGAGATTTTTTACATTTTAGAGAAGTCAAGTTGCGATACCGAACAGGACCACATGGAGATGCCTACTGCCTACCGCCTACTGACTGCATATATCTACTACAGTACACGGATCCATTCAGAATAACTAAACACAGCAACATACACATGACAAATCAAAACATTATCGTGAATGTGTGTGGAAACAATGTGAATGTACGGAAATGTCTGTGCCTGTGCATAAATACAATGTGCGAGCAGTGCGCCAAGAGCACTCATACACGCATTAATATAACGGACTCACACGTGCTTACTGTAGGCTACGACTCCTGTACACCACCACAATCGTCTTTACCTTGATTGCAATCTTTTTCCATCAAAACTTTACTAGCGAGACTGGTTATCAAGTCGAGAAAACATAGTTTGCGTCTCATCTGGCCATACAGTGTTGACATTCCGTTCAGTCTGTACTTCACACAGTATGAGGACTCGCGCTATTCATAGACAATCGCAGAATTGAAATTCAAAGCGAAACACACTGGAATAATTAACTGAAAACGCAACGCGAGTCTCTTTTCTCTCTGCAATCTCTGATGTAATCAGCCTGGTTTCCTTTATATTAGTGCTGTTTTGGACGGATTGTTTGAATGCATTCGCTTACTGGATCATTGGACTGAAAACTTTCCCGGAGTTTAGCGGCTTAAAGTGAACTGATCGCAAACAGAGAAGCAAAATTGGGTTAAAGGTTTAGAATAGAAATTGTGCTTCAGTAATTTTGCTTTAATTGCGTTAAATTATTTTAACACGTTAAGGATTGTAAAATTAATCGCATGCGTTAACACATTAACGTTGACAGCCCTAATTTATATAAAACTATATTGGCAGTACAGTACATATCAACTGATTCTTTGCCTTTATTTGTCAATCTAACTGATATAAACTGAGAAGATAAAAATCAGGCTTAAAAGATTTCTTATTCTATCCTATCCTCCATCTAGTGGACAACGTTGGTGTTACAGCCTTCAACTTGAAATGTTTTGAAATGTCTAATTGTTTATAATTTGCTGTTGGCCCCCAGAGTTTGGATAAAGCACTTTCAAGATATGACAATTCCTGTTTCCTTTTTTTTTTTTTCTTTTTTTTTTTGCTGTTATTTTAATAAATCTCCATGGTAACATCGTTTAAGATATCCAAGAACCATTTTAAATTTAGGTTCCTCAATGTTTTTGTCACGATCTCCAGCTGGAGTGCCTATGAACTCCACCAGAGGGCACTCCACCCCTGACTCTTGCCACTCTCACTAACTACATTCCCCATAATCTTTTGCCGGACTCACCATCACTGATTGCATTCACCTGTGTCTTGTTACCTCATCTGTCCCACCCTATTTAAAGCTTGGTTTTTCATTCATTCAGGGCTCAGCATTGTCTAGCCTGTAGCATCCCCTAGTTCATGTGTTCCTTGTGGCATTATGGCCTTGTTGCCTTGCCTTTGACCCTGGACTGTTTCTGATTTCTTATTGTTTGCTGCCTGCCCTGACCTTCACCTGTTTTGTGGATTACTCCTTTGCCTCGCCCTGAATTATACCTGTTTGCTGTTGTTTGACCCTGCCTGTTTTGACTACGATTTTAATAAAAGCCTGCACTTGGATCCACTACTGCGTTGTTACGCCTCCCAACATTACAGTTTTGGCATCATGTAGACAAAGTTTGGTGTGAATTGCATGATTGCCCTAGAAGGAGTTCCTCTTGGTCGTAGCTAATGACTGTAAACTAGAAAGTTGTGTGGCTTGATGAGAACAATATATGTACCAAGTCTGGTGACTGCAGCTAAAACTAACCCCCCAACTTTTGTCAAAAGGTGGTGCTATAGAGCATATCATTACATAAATTATCATTACATAAATTACATTATTTGAGAAAGTAGAAAACAATACTTACATTTAAAAGTGTAATCCAGCAATTTCTCTCAAATAAATCCTGTCGTCACCGGCACGCAATGAATTCTAGGGTAGGGTGGCCTGCGAAGGGTTCATCTGTTGTAGCTTTCGTTGCAAGTGAAATGAGGGGCGCATTTGGAGGCCGCAATTGAAGGAGCCTTCGAATTGGGACAGCCTTCGTCGCACCGCGGTGACGCAATCTGCCTTCAAATGCACCCTTTGAAGAACGCAGCCTTTGAACTGGGAAGCAACTAATGAATGCTGAAGTTAAAACACACTTCCTGTTTCCCTATTTTCACCATAAATTCATTGCATCGCCAAGGACAAACCTTTAAAGATATCAAGACGTGCTGCGTCATCCGCCGGAACGGCTTCAGCCTATGACAGATACCGGAAGTGAGAGAAAAGTGTTTATTACATTTGAAATATGGATATTTTTCTTACAAAAACGCATGGATTCACTACAGGAGGCCTTTAATCAACCCCCGGAGCCGTGTGAGGCACGTTTTGTTATGGATGCGCGCGCTTTATTTGACTACTTTTTTTGGACTGTTCAAATGCAACACCCGCTGACTGCAATGATAGAGCTTGGAGTAGCCAGGACAATTTTTAATATAACTCCGACTGGATTCATCTGAAAGAAGAAAGTCATATACACCTAGGATGCTTCGAGGGTGAGTAAAACACAGTCTAATTTTCATTTTTGGGTGAACTAACCCTTTAAATGTGGGCATAAACGTGTCAATATTTTTCTCATCTTGGGATTTCAATGTACAGTATTAAGTCCATCTCAGAGCTTTAACCACTAAACTACCATGTTTCTAGAAACACTTCATTCTGAGAGATGCTGTAATTGATACTCATCCATCAGAGGGTATAAAGAAAGTCTGCAGCTGCAAAACAAGCCTTTGCAGACATTGAAAGCATAAAAACTGGATTCACCACAAACTCACCGCATAAACATTTACAGACACAAACCAACCTCGGTCCTTTCTACTTCTGTCTCATATGCAAACAAGCAGTAAACTGAATGGAAACATTTGTGGTTAAGATGGTTATCTTTTTAAACGAGAATAAGACAAGACCTTTCTTTGAGAGAAAACAAAGACAGGAGAGTAAAGCTCCTTTTGTTGTGACAAGTCAGAAGCGTGTGGATCCATTTGCAGCTTTTATTAGAATAGTCAGACAATACAGGGTCAATA